GTGTGCCTGGCAGAGTCAAAACCCTCAAAGTACACCCTGTGGCGAGTAAAACTCTAACACAGAAAATACCTCTCCAAAACGCCTCGTTGGAGATACGTCATTGTCCATTGATTCTTTCGGGTACGCATGATGTCAACCGTACCCGGAACGAAATGGACCAATCCGTGGAGCCGTTACGTTACGTCCGCGGAGCCGTTACGTTAAGCCCCCGCTGATTGGTCCAAATTGACGGACTTCCTCACACACACACACTCAGTGCAGGCAGCTCTGCTGATCTCTCCTCCCTGGCTGCAGGCTGATAACAGACAGTTGGGATCGCGGCGAAATTCTCTCTGCAGACCCATTCTCACAGCGTTTATCAACCTTTTTCTTAATCAATATCAAGCCACACTTATTGTTTTTACTTCGGCTGTGACTTTGTGTGTGCTCAGGATGAGTTTGGCTGTGTTTCGGTGTGTATCGCTAAACAAGGAAACAACACCTCCACGGAGCTCAGCGCGATAACGTCCCGACCAATCAAAGCCCACTGTGCTCACAGGCAGGGTGGGGGCTGGAGCTGCTGGAGCTACAACGAGCCGTTAAAGGCAGAGAGTGAAATTCAGTGAATACACATAGTTTACAGAGATGCTGTTTGAGAAACCAAAGTGATTTTGGAAAATTGCACAATATAAATCTATTCTAGTAGACCTCAACAATGGAATTATGATCAGTGGAAATGGCCATGACATGGTACCTTTAAGTTACTTGTACTTTACTTGGGAATTTCCATTTTATGCTACACTCTTACTCAACTACATTCCTCTCATTACATATTCAGGTTATCTTAAATAAAAAATATAAATCAATCGAATGTCCATCAGATTTGATTTATATAGCACAATATTACAAAGAATACACATTTGTCTCAATGTGCTTTACAGTCTGTACCGCTCTCTCCTTAGACCCATGATCAAATAATGCATACAGCTCTATTATGCAGATTACAGAAATTATTCTGTAATGAACTATAAGGAATGTGTTCTTTAGTTCAAGTACTTTTGGTGCTAATGCTTTTTTTACTTGTAGTTCAGTAAGAGTTTAAGTTCATTTTCAATGTTCAATATTTCTATAATGTTTTATCACTACTTTTACTAAAGTAAAATATAGCACTTCTTTCATTACTGCCTCTAACGCCTTGTCTCTCCTCTCCTCTCCTGCAGGAGTCAACAAGAAGCAGCAGCAAAGAAGTTCTTTTGATAAAATACATTTCTAAAAAGAAAGTGTGTAAATGAGGGAATGTCCATTTTGGTCTTTGGTTTTTCAGTTTATTTTGAGATCTTAAATTATTGTACTTGAAAGAAATGATCTTGTTGAAGTTTGTTTTAATTCATTTCAGATTTTTTTATTTGATCACTAATTAGCTTTGTATGAATGCATCTGTGAGACCTTTGGATTTCCAACATGATGTAACATGTTCCTTACAGTATTTTTGGTTGGATCTGTTTTGATTTTGTTTTCAATCTGCCCCAGTCCCATTTTATGAAACTGAACTGACTACAAAGAAACATGTGCAATTTTGTATAAAATAATGCTGAACTATTGCTGGCAAAAACTCAGAGCAGATTGTCTGCTTCCGTTCATCTGCTTTGATCGAGTCAGAAACTGACACTCATGAACACATGAACAATTTACATAAACATGAAAAAACAAACAAATCACTCTCTGCTTATTTTATTATGTCAGATACTCTCCACTAAGGGTAATGATTATGTAAAGATATGTTTCCTGGTTGTCCATGATGTAAAGTGTATTCAAGTTAGCAATTACTGTACAAAGATTTGTAGTTGTGCATCTCAATTATTGAAGGATTATTGAGGATATTTCAAAAAGAAAATTAAATTGCACCACTGGAGAATATTTAAAACAGTATGAAGTTATAGGGACATTTGTAAGATCACACATTCTTTTTTTATTGACAACTCTGTTCTTTTAAATAATCCTTAACTGATGAATGACGTTCGGAGGGGGGATTTCCATCTTACAGTATTACTATATTAAAAGTACATTAATTCTGGACATACTATACAATATAATTTTTTCCTGAAATATAGCGATTTAGTATACTATGTCGTTTTTATGCATATTTTTGATATAGTATACTTCGTTGTTTTTTGGCATTTCTTTCGACTTATGTCATAGTTCTTTGCATATTTAAAACATTGCCTCGTAAACGATTTGTACCAAACCAGGGCCCCCTGGGGGAAAAACAAGAATCTTCATTCCTAGACCATATGGGACCTTTTTAATTGCATATTTTGGACATACCATACTATGTCGTTTTTACCAGAAATGTTGGAAATACTATACTATGTTGTTTCTTTGCATTTGCATAACCCATTTTCGACACAATATATAATAATATTTTATATTGTATTTGACTGACTATATTAGGACTTCTTTCATCATAGTATACTGTTTTGATGCCATACTAATGAAACTGTAATTTTTTGGATGTTTCAATATACAATCTGTTCCCATACCGGGAGTTGAACCCAGGCCACCTGGGTGAAAACCAGGAATCCTAACCGCTTGACCATACGGGACATGTTTTCTGTTTTGCTTTTTTCAAAAAATCTTACACACTGTACTATGACTTTTTTCAAATGTTTCAACATGATTAACTATGAAGTTTTTTCCAATTTTTCGACATACTAGATTATGACTTTTTTCACATTTTTGGATATGCTCTACTATGACGTTTTTTTCCATATTTTTTGGACATATTCTACTATGACTTTTTTCGACTCACTCTTTTCCATTTCTTAAAACGGCTTATACTTTGATTATTTTTCCCATCTGAAAGCTGTTCCAATACCAGGAGTTGAACCCGGCCCGCTTGGGTAAAAAAACAGGAATCCTAACCCCTAGACCATATGGGACATGTTCTTTGTCTTTTTTCTAAATTTCTTGAGATACTATACTATGACCTTTTTTCAAAATGTTTGACACACTATTTCACATGTGTCAAACTCAAGGCCCGGGGGCCAAATCAGGCCCTTGGTGGATTTAATTTCGGCCAGCAGGATAATTTCTAATTACTATTAGATCTGGCCCGCCGGCATATTGCACGCACACCTTCACTCAATCCTGAGGATTTCCTCAGCTCAGAGCCTGACCCCAAACATTGATGAACTTGCACCCAAGATGAGATGCCAAGTATCTGGCTTAAACCAGTCTATGGCTTAAACTAGCATCACAGAGCAGCAAACTGAGTTTAAATGGATGTTTCCTTCTGCACCTGTTTCCTTGCGACAACATGGCATGTTAGTTTTTTTCTTTGAGGGAAATTGTTTTTTTGAAGCTGTTGTCGGCCTGTGGAAAAATGTAATCATAAGAAATGACTCTGCTGCAGATAGAGCCCTAAGAAATGAATTAAAATGATTATTTAATGTTTAATGTTGTTTTTATAGGCAATCATTTAAGCTGTGTTAGTTCCAGGCTTAATATGTGCAATAAGTTCATTTCAATAAGTTTTGCAATAAACATTGAACCAATCCGGCCCTCAACTAGTACCGATTTTTTTATTTTGGCCCACTGTGTTTGAGTTTGACACCCCGACACTAGATTATGACTTTTTTCACATTTTTGGATATACTCTACCATGACGTTTTTTTTCACATTGGACCTATTCTACTATGACTTTTTTCTAGTTTTCACGCTCATGGCCTTTCTCCATGGAGATATTTTCTTGCCAGAAAGACTTTTTTTTCCAATTTATTGACACAATATATTATGAATTTTCACATTTTTGGATATACTATACTATGACGTTTTTTTCATATTCTTGGACATAATCTACTATGACTTTTTTTCTACTTTTCAACTCACTGTTTTCCATTTCTTTAAAACAGCTTATACTTTGATTATTCTTCCCATATAAAACCTGTTCCCATACCGGGTGTTGAACCCGGGCCGCCTGGTTGAAAACCAGGAATCCTAACCACTAGACCATATAGGACACGATTTCTTTCATTTTTCCAAATTTGATAAGATACTATGAGTTTTTTCAGATTTTTGGATATACTCTACTATGACTTTTTTTCAAATTTTTGGACATATTCTAATGACTTTTCTCTATTTTTCAACTCACTCTTTTCCATTTCTTTAAAACAGCTTATACTTTGATTATTTTTCCCATACAAAACGGTGAAAAAGGTAATAGTATAAAATGGCAAAAATATTTTAAAAATACATAAAAGATATCCCAAGATATTTTCTTGGGGTCAGGATTCCTGGTTTTCATCAAGGCAGCCTGGGTTCAACTCCCGGTATGGGAACAGGTTTTATATGGGAAAAATAATCAAAGTATAAGCTGTTTTAAAGAAATTGAAAAGAGTGAGTAAAACAAATTAAAATAAGTCATAGTATACTCTGTTATAGAATTGGAAAAAACGTCATAGTAAATCATGTCCAAAAATTTGAAAAACAGTCATAGTATAGTATCTCAAGAGATTTGGAAAAAAGACAGAAAACATGTCCGATATGATCTACCGGTTAGGATTCCTGGTTTTCACCCTGGCGGCCCGGGTTCAACTCCCGGTATGAGAACAGGTGTTATATGGGAAGAATAATCAAAGTATAAGCTGTTTTAAATAAATGGAAAGGCAAGGCAAGTTTATTTATATAGCACCTTTCAACACAAGGCAATTCAAAGTGCTTTACAAAAATGAAAGACATTAAGAGCATTAAGAAACATATTATAAAATGATATCTAGAAACACTCATTTAAAAGCAATGATATAAAATTACATTTAAAAACACTCATTTAAAAGCAAAAATAAAAAGCAAAGATAATAAAAGTTACAGTGTAATTTAAGATATGAATAGTTCAATTAAAAGCAGCGGAAAAAAGAAAAGTCTTCAGCCTGGATTTAAAAGTAGTCAGAGTTGCAGCGGACCTTCAGGTTTCTGGGAGTTTGTTCCAGATATTTGGAGCATAATAACTGAACGCTGCTTCTCCATGTTTAGTTCTGACTCTGGGGACAGAAAGCTGACCAGTCCCAGTGGACCTGAGAGATCTGGATTGTTCATAATTTAGCAGGAGGTCAGAAATGTATTTTGGGCCTAAGGCCCAAAATACATTTCTGACCTCCTGCTAAATTATGAACAATCCAGATCTCTCAGGTCCACTGGGACTGGTCAGCTTTCTGTCCCCAGAGTCAGAACNTGTATTTAATTTAAATAAAAAGCAATTTTAGTTTTGTTCACAATTTGTTTAGTTAGTTTACCTTCTTTTTTTCTCCAAAAAAAACGATAAAAGTACCGTTAAAGCACCGGATCGATAAGCGGTATCGATAAAAGTAGTAGTAGGCCTACCGTTAAAACCTTAACGATACCCATCCCTAGTCATGTGGATGTCAGTATAACACACATTCTGAGGCCGCCGTGCCTGTGTTTTTGTTTTCACTGCTAGTTTATGCTTATGTTCAATTAGTGCATTAAAATCATTAATGAAGTTTCAGCTCAGACCCCACGCTTAATCTCCCACTGGCCCACCTACATTTCTCCAGGCCCACCCACACAATAATTCCTGGCTATGCCACTGGTATATATACTGGCAGGCTGATCAGGGAATGGGGTGCAGGTGACTAGAGAGTATGAGCAGGTGGAGGTATGACAGGAGAGCAGGCACATGGGAGTGGCTGGGTCTGAAATGACAGCAAACAAACACAAACAAGCAGATAAAAAAGGAAGAATCTAAACTAGTATGCTAGCTGTTGAGACACTCAACTTCTACTCTCTCTAATATAGTAATACAACACGTAAAAATAGTAAGGTCTCCATCAGTTTTTATGTTTGTGCAATGTTAATTCAATCAGGAGAGACGGTTTCGATGTAAGAATACATATGTATTGCCAGGGATACACAAATGAATGTAATGGTGTTTTGGAGATTAGGACCCGTTGTGCACGAGTATCATTTAGGAGGCGAGAGCCGATCCGATGAAACCCCCCTGGGGTCTAGACACTGGTGATGGTGAATGGATAGTTGGGTTCGGTATGAAGGGGAGGGGCTTAGCTTGACCCTGGATTCAGAGGGACAGGAGGTGAAAAGGGGTGGAGGAGGGTTGCGTAGAGTCACCTGAAATGGAAGTTGTCAGAGGGGGAGAGCAGATTTTAAAGCTTTAGCAGAGCACTATGATAGGCTTGTGGGAATAGAGCAAAGTTATTGGTTACGCTGGGGAGTGACGCCCCCGATCACTTATTGAGAGGAGAGAGAGCATAACAGTAAATTAATTAGTAAAGACAGTCTTCCTGGTTGAACTTGCGCCGAGCTTCATTAGGCAGAATTCAAAAAAAGTTTCATCAAGGATGTGGAGAAAAAGGTTTTCTAAATGGCTTCAAGTTTTAGTATTTGATGGTTGCCATTTTAACAAAAAGAACACCTGAAGGCTTTTGTCTTAAACACTTCATCTCTTGCTCAAGCTGAGGCTGAGTAAAAGAGAGCAAAACGGAAATGGAGGTAATTATGGGCTCTGACAAAGATCTGCACTGAAACGACCTCAGGTAGAGATGTTTTAAAGACTTATTTCCGTGCCTTTTATTAGAAAGACAGA